TGGGACAGGACAGGAAAGGACTTGGCGGTGAGAAGTTCGAGCCCTTTCCCATCCAGCCCCCCCACCCCCGGTCCCATCAACCGGGAGCCCTGGCCGGCCGGCACCCGGCTCTGCTGCCGGCGGCACAGATTCCTTGGCAACGTGTTGCTGAACCAAGAGTCCGAGCAACTCCGTGAAGCGGGACGGGGCCCAGGGTGGATGCAAAATCGCCAGGTCCTGGTGTAGTGTCGATGCTCTCGATCGCGAGCTCGACTTGGCAGAACGAAGAAAGAGAGTGAGTTGGCTGTCCTTCCCGACGAGCGGTGAGCTGCGCAATTGCGTAACAAAAAAAAAGGAAAAAAAAAGCGGCGTCATGGTGGTTTATAGTTAGGCTCCAACACTCCATACTAAGTCCGCTAGAGTCTCGGCGATGGAGTTCTTCGGCTGGTGGAAACCGGGTCCGAATCCCCGGGCTCCTCTCGGTTGTGGTAAGCGAGCCGGTTGGTTGGACGGGTTCGCCGAGCTCCGGTTCGGCTCTGGCTTCCGAGCGCGGGAGGAAGGAAGCTTACATCGTCGCATACTACGTGTAGTGTAGTGTATAGTACCGCTAGTATGCCACGATGTCGGTGGCGATGGCCGGAGTTGATACTACTCCAAGGTTCAGGGTTGGTTCTCGAAAAACCCCGTTTTCTCGTTTGAGATTGGCCCCTTCGTACGATGACAGAGAGCCTTGAGATAGGAAGGCGGTTTCCCACGCGTAAGCGACCGTTGGGCAACAGATCGTCGATACAACAATCCCATCCCACATCGTCAATTGAGATAAACAGATAGACACAATTTTCACCGGAAAAGGCCGGAATCGATCGAGGAAGAACTCGGGTCGGGAAACCCACCGGGATATCCGTATGGTAAAAGCAACCCAGATGTCACACCCCATGCCCCCGAGTTCAACTCCCGAAGCTGGGTTTCCCAACATCGAGCAAATCGAAACAACACACGTCTCTCAACAAAGAGCTCTTTCAACCCCCAGGGTACACAGCACGGCAAGCAAGTCCTTCCTTCCTTCCTTCCCCGCACGTACCGCACCCGCCATCGAAACATCTTCCATCTTCTTGGGGGCTTTTCCTCCACCGGTTCACCCGGCGTTTGGTTCGGGCAAGGATCCATACCCATAGCTAAACCCATGATATATCCCCTCCCCGGTTCCCTTAAAACGGCCCGTTCCCCCATTTCCGGATCCGGCCGTAGGGGTTGGTTGACAGAAAAAAAAAGTCTCGGAACGGGCGGAAATTCCGGCCCCCCTTTGGGAGGATGGCTCTACGGAAAGAAGGAAACGAAACTTTAGCGAGGAACCGATGCGGTTGGCGGATGCCGGGCCAGACTCCGGATTGCGAGACCGATCGGACCGGGGAACCCACCCGAGCAACCCCAGAGCAGGGTGCGAGAGCCAAAGAAAAAAATAAGATATGTACGGATACGTGTACCATGTAAGGTATGGGAAAAAAGACGCCGACTCGGCCGACCGGTGAATGCAAGCTCCATGTATGTAAGAGCACAGACGGTGGGTCCGTGCGGATGCTGCAAGTTCTGCAGCTCTGCTCTGTACCTCAGCAGCGGCAAGCGAGGAAGGAAGCGCCCGCCTCAAGCAGTCAGCAGAAGCGGCAGCGGCAAGCGGTCGCAGCAGGGTGATGAGGTGCGTGATTCGTTATGGATTGGTTGATTGATGGACCGATGAATTGGTCTACGGGGTCGTCCCGTTTAGGCC